CACTGATTCGCTGATTGAATTGGGCATGAACTCCACCTTACTTTTTTTTTATTTTTTTTATAATTTTATTTATTGAATCACCATGAGAGCAGTTACAAAGCTTTTGGGTCTAAATCTCGGTCATACCATAAAACACCCGTACCTTTAACAGTGCCCATTCGCCACCCCCAACAACCCCAGTATACCCCCATCCCACATCCTCCCCCTACCTGTGGGGCAGATGATTTCCACATTATTCTCTACTTTGATGACATTCAATATTTTGACACCAGACCCACCATTATTATTTGAGATTTTACCCCAAAACTCAGATCTGCTGAAAAGGCAACAGTAAACAATTTGTTTTCTATTGCTGGTTATGAATAACATATGATGCCGCTTGCCTGCAGTAGTGGCCGCACAATTTTGAAATTCCGAAATTTTAACAGTTAAATCTGGAGAGATTTCTACCAAAACCTGCTGGGTTCTGAGATTTGTTCCTGAGTCTCTGGAATCATGGCCATTAAGCAGCTTGATCAGGAGCCATAGAGGCCGTTCATGGGCGGCAACATGGCATCTCGTTGGGGTGGGGAGGAAAAGGCCAGATACACCCCTATCCCTTGAGGCCCCATGTGTCTTCTCACTGCAGGCCCAGACTGTCCAGTGGCCTCTGGAGGATTGCTACCAACAAGCTGCCAGGGGGAACGGGCCAAGGCATGAAACCTATTCCCACCTGGGTTGGCCCAGTACCAGAAACCTACTGCAGTGACCGGACACATTTCTGCCAAAAGCTGCTGGGTTTCGAGATTTGTTTCTGAGTCTCTAGGATCATGGCCATTAAGCAGCTTGATCAGGAGTCAGAAAGGCTGTTCATGAACTGCGACTCCGGGTCTCGTTTGGGTGGGGAGGAAAGGGCCGGCTCCACCCCCCATCTCGTGAGGCCCTGCGTGTCTCGTCACTGCAGGCTCAAAACTGACTGTTCAGTGGCCTTTGGAGGATGGTGGCCACCGGGCTGCCTACTGCAGGGACCAGACGCATTTCTGCCCAAAGCCGCTGGGTTTCAAGATTTGTTTCTGAGTCTCTGGGATCATGGCCATTAAGCAGTTCGATCAGGAACCAGAGAGGCCATGCCTCCAATTATATAGCTGAGACCGAGGTGGTTTGTGGGTGTGCCTCGCACATACCTAACTTTTGGCTGTTTACTTTCTTGGTAAACTTTGTTCCAAGTTTTTGGGGTCTGGGAAAAGGCACAACTGCAATTTTGGGGTATCTGGATGTCTGAAGGTGCCATCAGGCTGCTGATGCACTTGCCTCACAGGTACAGATTGACCTGCTGGCGGGACCATACCCCCTACAGCCCAGAACTTTAGTGAGAAACCATCATGCAAGCCTCCAGGGTCACTCCACGTGCTTGGTGTAATCCTGCCTGTTCATCACAATGGTTTTCCAGTCATACTGCAACCAGAAGTGTGTAGCACCAGCCAAAGAGGTGTGAACCCTGTGAACAATGCAACTGAAAAGAGCAAGCACCACTACCAGAAGTACAATCCCTGACAAGAATGTGTGTGAGCAACACCACAAGCCCAGTGAAACACTACAACCACAGCTTGTGTGCCCTTCGTAGTGTTGAACTCTAATGAACATATATAAATGTAAAAACTGAGGGAATACAAGCCCCAGTGAGCATCACTGTCAAGTGTGTGAATAGCTTTCAACTCGACGAACAAATAAGCACCTCGACAAGCACCACAACTAAGAAAATGTGTGAACACCACATCCAGATATCATCACAACAATAAAAAAAAAAAAAAACGAGAGAGTTAAAAAGAGAATCCCTTAAGATCCAGCTCCCAGGCATCCCCAATGAGATTCATGGCTTGATGAAAAGGTGATCAGCAGCAAATAGCTCTGAATGTGGACAGAACTCAAAGTTCGTGGGAGAGCTCAAAATTGCACACGGCCGACCTGGGTTCGATTCCTCCTTCCTTCTCGGAGAGCCCGGCAAGCTACTGAGACTATCCCGCCCACACGGCAGAGCCTGGCAAGCTCCCTGTGGCATATCCGATATGCCAAAAACAGTAACAAGAAGTCTCACGATGGAGATGTTACTAGTGCCTGCTCGAGCAAATTGCTGAACCATAGGACGACAGTACTACAGTACTAAGGAATCTGAATATGGCCCAGCAATGCAATGAACTTACTCAGGTAGAGTCTACTAGAATATTGACCCCAGGAACTACATTAAGCATGTAAACCAGCATTTGCTGAGGATGCATTGTTCCTAATTAAATCAGTTTTTAAACTTTTTTGGAGGACTTACTCAGCATTTTTAGGTTCTTCTCCTGGCTTTGAAATCAGGGATAACTCCTGCTGGAGTTTGGGGGAATAGATGAGGAACTGGAGATTGAACAGACATCAGGCACATTCAAGTAAGGCACCTTCCCACTATAAAAATCACTCTGGCTCACATTCCTAATAAAACACACCTATATATTTCTTCAGTACCACCTCTCAGCCAACCAGACAACCCTTTATTATATCATATGTGAACAAAGTAGCATCTACATGAGCCAAGTTAGATCTAAGTCTGTGGTAATAGCACAAGCTTTAGTAGGCAACTCAGGATTTTGCCTTTTATCTCTCGAGTAGAAAAATATTTCACAGTGAGAAGTCGGCCGTTCTTCAAACTCTCCTCCCCAGGGCTGAAAGGAAGCACTGCACTTAAGAGACCTCATCACAAACAGAGAACATTCATGTTGTTCAAGCTCTGCCTCATAGGAGGCCAAGTAGAAAGATCACTTCCTCACAATTATTTGTTCATTCATTCAGCAAATATTTGCTGAGCATTGTGATTTGTCAAGATATATTATTCCCAAGGATTCTAGAGAAAGACAGATGAAGAAAAAACTCTCTTCCCCACAGATTCCATACTGTAGAGGGAACAACACAAACACAACATTTAATTGCAAACTGGGTAATGCACATTAAAATAGAAAAATTGCATATAATGGGAACAAGAGAGAAGAAGCCCAGGAAAGGAGTAAAGCAGAGGCTTAGCAAGGATCTGAAAGGTGGGATGGGGAAGGAAAAAGTGAGGTGAACATTTCAAGAAAAAACAAGGGGAGAGGAATTGGCATCAGAAATAGCAAAGCAAGTTCAGCATGGCAGGTTCTTTGGCTAAATGGACAACAAGGGCTAGGCCATGCGGGCAATTCAGAGCTGTGCCTTTTCTATAAATCCATGCTAAAATGTTTTCTCCAAAACTGGGGTGATAGAGGGGGTGGTATTAGTCCTTAGTGCTGGGCTAATGTTGTTTACATCTTTAACTAAGTATCATTTTAATTGTGTTGGCCCCATCTCTGGGAGTACCTATAGAATTTTCCCTTCTGAGGAATTGACTAGTCTTTACTGCTGTTAGGACTGAATAAAATAAAAGAAGTGTGTGAACTTATATATAAAAGATGCAAAACAATGAACATCTGAGTGAGCTGGTTTTGATAGGCACCCAGCAAGATGTACATCGGGCATGGAAAAGCAACATTGCCCCCCATGAGTGATATCTACATGTTCGCCTTGAAGTTTGCTGAATCACATCTTGTCAAAGAAATTCTCTATTTTACTTGACTTTGACTATAAGCTATTGGCTTTACCCCCACTCTAAAGTGCCCAGGGCACTGCTAGTGCTTAGTATGCTCTTACTAAACAATGTTGATTACACTATTTGCTTACCAAAAAACAGTGGTCTTTAATCATGAGCTGGTTAAAGTCAGTTTTCTGTGTGTTGTGATGTCTTGATTCCTTTTAAATTTTCACCAATAGAAAAACTGTAAGAACAAAATCTGAAAGTTCTTTCAGTCACAACTGACATCTTTGGGAAAATTCCACACATACAAAAGATTATCTTTAAAAAAATAGCTAAAATGCTGAATAAAGAATTAAGCTACCACTGTGAAGTCACAAAAGTTCTGAAGTCAGAAAAAGTGAAAAGTATGGGTGTGGTTAATTAAGAACAAAAGACAATATCTGGGAAATGCCAAAGAAAACATTTTGATTTTATAAGTGCTAAAGACACCACAGAAATAAACTACATTTTAAGTTAGCTATTACAGTGTAGAAGAAGAGATCATCTTTATGATTAATTTCTTTAACAGCCACCCAACTGTCAGTTCTGATTGGTTACTGTAAAAATTGGGACACACTTGGGACTGGAGTGATAGCACAGTGGTAGGGCGTTTACCTTGCATGCAGTCGACCTGGGTTTGATTCCCAGCATTCCATATGGTCCCCCGAGCACAGACAGGTGTAATTCCTGAGAGCATGAGCCAGGAGTAACCCCCGTGCATTGCTGGGTGTGATCCAAAAAGAAAAAAAAATTAGAACACAGATTTTTCTATTTTAAAATAAAAATTAGAATTCAGCCTCACTACAGAGTACCTGTGCTGAGTTGTTTCAATTACTTTAACCTCTCATCTCCAACTCCTCTGAGTGCTAACCAGAAAAATAAAAATGCCTACCTTGAGTTGGCAAGATAGTACAGAAGGTAAAGGACTTGCCTGGCACACAGGAGACCTGGGTTCGATCCCCTACCCCAAATATGGCCCCCTGAGTGTGCAGAGCCATGTGTATGCCCTAAACACTGCATACTCCCTTCTCCCCCGACCCACAATGCCTACCTCAGTAATGCTATGAAGAATATACCTACTGATCAGTCTGAAAGTGAACTGGTCACATAACACTGATTACATGATTTTTTAACATTTTAAACAGCACATAATATTTTGTTATTACCAGCATACTTTTGATAAGGTTGTAAGAACTTTCATTTCTACTTTTTATTGTCTTCATTGCTTAACATTTTACAATCAGCAGTTTATCAATCATATTTGATCAGTAAAATATATGTGTTTACGTTTTTGGAAATGGGGGAAGGAGGAAGATCTCTAACATATGAATAACAATGTTCCAATTACATCAGGCAATTAGGGCCTAAAAGACAATACAAGAGTTAAAAATTTGCCATGTAGATTATACTTTCAGGGATCTTTTCTACAGAATATTACTAGAGAAGTTTCTCTGATCATGTCTAGCACCTGAAACCATGAGTCAAAGTCTTTCCTAAGTGTGAAGCTGATTCTAGGTGCTGCTTTTGCAACTGCCTTTTACCACTGATGATCGTTCTTCTCTTCCTTTGGAAGGAAAAGAGGGGGAGGGTGTAGTCTGAGTGGTTCCGGTGAAGAAGAACAAAGAAAGAACTTGCCTATAGTGGGATGACCCCAATTCAGTCCACAGCATCCCATATGGTTCTCTGAGCATTGCCAGGAATGAATCCTGAATGTAGAGCCATGAGTAATATGCCACCTCCTCCCCCCAAAAAAGCCAACTGTTTTACAAGGAGGGAAAAGAGACTTTCTGGGTTTTTTTTTTTACCTAATTGGATTTGCTCCTGGAGTGTGGTTCTCAGTGGAGTTTCTGGAGAAAAGTTTCAGGAGTGGTATTTAGATGAATCTTCATGTCTCAAAGTCAACAGTAGACTATTAAGAATCAGAGCTTGGCCTTCTGCCCACCGTGATGTTTCATGACTTGGAAGTGCTTATGTCTTTGAACTATGTCTGAAAATTAGGAACAGCAAGACAACCCAAAACAACAGAACAACTGGTCTAATGGCAAGAAATATGGACATTCCCATTAGCCACAAATAAACACGTTAGCACATTCATGCTGGAAATCCCTGCAATTCCTCACACTCTTTCTAATGATGCCTTGGTAGGACCGAGGTTTGGGTAGACATAAACATGGGCAAAAGGTATGGTTTGGCACTTTTACTTACCTCCCTCATATTATCAGAACCAAGTTGCCAAGGTTAAATGTCCTATTGTGTGTATTGTGTGTATTTATGCACATGTGTTCAGCAAATAAATTCCACAGAAATGTTTTGTGCATTCATAGGCTGGGAATGCAGCTCAGTGGCAAAGTACATACCTTGCACGTGTGTGAGACCTGAGTTTGATCTCTGAGACCACACACACACACACACACACACACACACACACACACACACATGAATAATAATCTATGTATTAAATATAAACTCTATTTTTAAAAGAAGTCTTTTCATTAAAAAAACCTAAATGTAAAAAATACACTTGTTTCTGACATGAATTTGACATCCTTCCCTTATTACACAAACACACAGACACACACACACACAGAGTATCTGAACTTGGTTCTAGATGGATGCTGAACAGAAATCTAGGACAGACTTCTGAGTTCATGATCATGTTTTTAACAAGAGGTTTGTTACTTGGCAAACCTCTACTCAGAGAGAAATACAAACTTTTCTCATTTTTTTGTCAAGCACTGAGACTCCAGGAAGAGCAGCCTAAAAATCCTATGCAAAAATTTCTTTTGTCCCAGTTTTTATTTTCCCAAGACAGTTATGCTTTATCTCAATTTGCTGTGGTTGAACACTTCCTAATGTTAAAAAAATTATGTCTTTTACTCACACAAACACACAAATAGAATAAATCACTTCCATTAGCATCCAAACATGCTAGGATTCAATTGTATTCATTAATCACCTCCATTGATTAGTAACCCTACGAAGTTTTGAATTTCTTTTATTTCCAGTGAAATGAAAGTCCAGGGAAGTCAGTCAGACAAATCTGGTCTTTGTGTGACTTTTGTAAATGGGTGTTAAAGGACACAATGCCTGATAGTAGATTTCTAAGTTAGCTCCACCAGTTAGCTCTCCGTGGTATTATACAGATCAAGTGATAATTTTGAACCTCAATTTTTGATATATGAAATGCAACCCTCAATTGGTTACTGTTATGAAAATAATATGAAACTTTTCCAAAGGCTATTAGGTTACTGTTATTATTGACATTTCTACTGTTACTGCTACACTCCAAACACCTCCTCTGACTATCACTGCCACCAGTACTGAAACACAAAACTATTTCTGAAGGATCCAAATACTCCACAATGGCTACCCACACAGATTATATTAGAATATAGCCTTCCCCTCACCACTAAGAGGATGTACTCATAAAGAAAGCAGTCACCACCGCTAGTTTCCTAATAAGAAAGTGTGTAAACACAAAAAGGGGCAGTGGCACTCTATCTCTCCCACTGCCTGGGTTTGGTAGTCTCGGGCCGCTTCCCCCACCATGGGGAGGTCAATGGCGATGGGCAGGCGAAGGAAGGAAACGAGGGCCAGGCTGGTTGGTCTCAACTGCCGTTTATTCCAATCTCATCTCCATTCACTTCTGATTCTCCCTCTGCTTCTTACCCCAGTCATGCTACTTCATTCTCCTCGATTCCCCTTCATTCTCCTTCTGCCTCCCTCATCCTCCTTCTCCTTCTGACTCTGGATGCCCCAGCCCCCTATTACTGCCTAGTTAAATCCCAAAGCATGACGGGCTGGTGCTTCCACATAAGGTGTGGTCACAATCAACAGAGGTAAAGTCTTTCCTTCAGGGGACGATTCCTCTAGGACAGATTCTCATCCAGCAAGACCGCTCTCCCAAGACTGAAATTCCAATTATGGGTGGTTTCTCCTTTCCTTAGTCCAGCAAACATATGTTCATAATATTAGACATTTTGTATGGACACAGTAAGAGATAAATTAAGCTTATAGAATTGCTCTCCTGGGGTCATTTTTAATACTGAATCAAGCATCTTTATTAAATATTAGAGATTAGGACAAGATCTTAGAACAAGGATTAATTTTTGAGACTCTTTTTATTTAGAGAGACCTGATTGGCATTTTTATTTATTTATTTATTTTTTATTAGTGAAACACCATGAGGTACAGTTGTAGACTTACAAGTTGTTGTGCTTGGGTTTCAGTTATACAATGATCGAGTACCTATCCCACCACCAGTGCCCATTCTCCACCCTCCTGGGGTCATCTTGATTTCTGACTACAGTGCTCAGGCCAGATTAGTCTTTCCTAATCCTAGCAGGGTTCAAATCTCATCGTTACTTTTGGATCATCACAGCATTTGTCAGTGACTATGCTCTCAATTTACAGTTGTGTATTGTGGCACTAGGTCTGGCCCATTTCGATGCCAGGGTAACTCACAGCTTGCCCTGGGTCCATTCAGTCCCTTGTCGGGACCCTGCTTTAGAGGTGCTAGGAACTAAGGGCAAATGAGGCTTAAGTGAAGGAAGCAGATGCCCAAGAGTGAATAATATTCGAAGCCAATTAAATCCCAAGTTAAAAAGCATAATATTAACTGTCTTCCTGTGTCTATACAAAAAGGGCATTGCTTTAAAGAAAACTATTCAAAAGACATAAGAAGAGGAGAAAGGCAATATTAACTTACAATACAAGTGCAGTGTCCTAAAAGGATCTGACCTTACAAATTAACGGAGTCTGATTAGGGGAAAAAGTTGACTAACTGGTTGGGGAGGAGAGTATAAAGAAGAGGTTACAGATAAACAAAGGAATGGGAGTGACTCGGGAGCACTGTGATGAGTGCAACCTGATAAACCTAAGCTCCTTGTGGCAAGGGAGAAAGGACAAATCAATGTTAGCCTACAGGAAAGAGCAGTATTTAATATTAACTCTATCTTGGGTGTCACTAAATTCAAGTAAAAGCCTTCATGAATTGGAAATATTTGCTCGTATTTGTAGACATTAAGAGAGTTTAGCTGTACTTTCTAAATTCTGATTTTAAGTTCTATTCTAATAACAAAACCTCAGGTAGGTTTAGAATTTCCATTTTGAATTAGAGGTGACAATAAATAGCAAACTCATACAACAAAGGCCCCAACATTATCACAATCAACTGCTCAGCTATAGCTTCAGATACTGAAAATAGATTTTGTTTGGCAAAAGACTTCTGGTGTCAAAAGTCATTTTTTTAAAAATGGCTATGGCCAGCCAGAGATGGATGATATGCGAATCTGAGCTATTAATTCAAAGATGCCTTTTTATTTTAGTGTGTTTTATATTTCTGTTATATTTTCTACTAATCTCTCATCTCATTATGACCATATAAAACAAAACACTAAAATATTGCCACTCACTAGCACCACTACTTTGAAATACTTTGTCTCCTTTACTCAGTATCTAAAAATGTATTGAATATAAGTTATAATGCCAGATTTCTGATAACATTTTTGCTTCACTCCACCTTAATTTGCCCAATCCCGTATCATTACCATTCTTACTTTCTCTACCTGTACTTTTCAACTTAAGGCAATTAGAGGAAGCATCCTTAAAAGTCTTTAGAGGCTGCTTAGAGAGACAGATGTGACAGCTCTTCTTAAGATCAAAACATGTTTCTTTGGCTTTGTCATTCCACTCATAAAGTGATGTAACTGTTTTCACAGTGAGTTTCAACAGCATTCAAAGTACCATTGGAAGTGCTAAGGAATAGGAAAAGATGGGAATCGCTGTTGATATTGCTCTTGTTGTCTTTGTCTTCTTGTTGTTGATGTTAATTAGAATCTCCTTTTGCACAAAACACCCTCTCATTTGAGTAACAAAGTCACAACAGAGAAATCTTACTTCTTTTCTTCTATGCACTCATCATAATGAATTCTTGACTGCAACTAGTACTTAACTTTGAGAGCATATCAATGCAGTGAACAAACAGAATAAAAAATGTCCTTGGCTTCTTTTCATAGGTAGATGAGGTTCCAGATTTTTTAGTTGCAAAGGATTAGGGACAATAATCTGGAAGAGCACCTAGGCGACTTATCTTGAGTCTGCATTGTGAATCACTTTTATTTTTACTTTGCTTATAGATGTATCAGGATGATGATGGATGGATCTAACATCTAACACACCACTGTGTAGCTTGCAAAATAACCAGCAGAAAGAAGTCCAGTTCCTCCCCTTCGGGAGGGTTAACAACATCAAATTCACTCCCACATCTCTTTGCTTTGGGTTGATTTGGTATGGTCTATATTCTAAGAGAGTGGAAATGTTGGTATTTTTGTCAACAAACTGCAAAGTCTCAGGCTATTGGCTTTAATACTAAGTGTTTAATAACTTTAAAGCAGTCAGAGACAAAGTATAGGGATTGGCATGATGCCTCACATGTGATCATCTCAGTTAAGTTCCCTACACACGGTCTGCGGAACATCACTGGGGACATGTGAGCCCCAGGGACCCGGAGGCCCCTGAGCTTCATAAAGCTTTGCCCCGAAGATCTCCAATGACTATAAGAGTGACACAGATAATTCCCTCGATTTGCAGGACCTGAGCAGTA